ACCCGTGCCACCCCCAGTTCCACAGTCAATGTCCACACCATTGTCCATGTCCGTGGGCCATTCATACATGTTCTTTGTCTAGTCCCTCCCCCTTCTTTCCACCATAACCCCGCGCCCCTCCCCTCTGGTCACTTTCAGTCTGTTCCGTGTTTCCATGCATCTGGTTCTATTTTGTATGTTAGTTCATTTTGTTCATTAGATTCCTCTTACAGGTGAGATTATATGGCATTCGTCTTTTACCACTTGGCTTATTTCACTTAGTATAGTATTTTCCAGTGCCATTCATGCTGTCGCAAAAGGTAGGAGTTCCTTCTTTCTGCTGCATAGTATTCCATTGTGTAAACGTACTACAGTTTTTGATCCTCTCGTTTACTGATGGGCACTTAGGCTGTTTCCAGCACTTGGCTATTGTAAATAATGCTGCTAGGAATGTAGGGGTGTGTGAGTTCTCTTGAATTGGTGGCTTGGGATTCCTAGGGTATATTCCTAGCAGTGGAATAGCTGGGTCAAAATGAAGTTCCATTTTGAGATTTTTAGGGAAATTGCATGTTTTCCACAGTGGCTACATCAGTCTGCATTCCCACCAACAGTGCACTAGGGTTCCCTTTTCTCTGCATCCTTGCCAGCAATTGTTTGGTAATTCACTAATGATGGCCATTCTGACAAGTGTGAGGTGGTATCTCATTGTGATTTTAATTTGCCTTTCTCTGATGGCTAGTGATGTTGAGCATCCTTTCATATGTCTATGGGCCCTGTGTATGTCCTTCTTGGAGAAGTGTCTATTTAGGTCCTTTGCCCATTTTTTAATTGGGTTGTGTGTCTCCCTGGTGTTGAGTCATATGAGCTCTTTATACATTTTGGAAGCCAAGCATGTCTGATGTATCATTGGCAAATATGTTCTCCCATGAAGTCGGTTTCCTTTTCATTTTGATAATGGTTCCTTTAGCTGTGCAGGAGCTTTTAGTTGATATAGTCCCATTTGTTTATTTTTTTTTCTTTACTTCCCTTGCCCTAGGAGATATATTGGCAAAAAATGTTGCTACATAGGATATATGAAATTTTCCTGCCTATGTTTCCCTCTAGGACTTTTATGGTGTCATGACTTATATTTAAGTCTTTTGTCCATTTTGAGTTTATTCTGGTATATGGCCTAAGTTGGTGGTCTAGTTTTATTTTTTTGCATGTTATCTGTCCAGTTCTCCCAATACCATTTATTGAAGAGGCTATCTTTATTCCATTTTATGCTCATGCCTCCTTTGTCAAATATTAATTGACCATAGAAACTTGGTTTTATTTCTGGATTCTCTATTCTGTTCCATTGATCTATGTGTTTGTTCTTACACCAGTACACCAGACTGTTTTGATGACAGTGGCCTTGTCATATAGTTTGATATCGGGTATTGTGATCCCTCCTACTTTGCTCTTCTTTCTTCTCAAGATTGCTGAGGCTGCTCAGGGTAGTTCATGGTTCCATATAAATTTTTGAAATATTTGTTCTAGGTCTGTGAAATATGCCATTGGCATTTTAACAGGGATTGCATTGAATCTGTAGATTGCTTTGTAGTTAATTCTTCCAATCTCTGAACATAGCATATGCTTCCATTTATTTGTATCATCCTTAATTTCTTTCGTCAGTGTTTTATAGTTTTCCAAGTACAGATCTTTTAACCTCCTTGGTGAAATTTATTCCTAGGTATTTTATTTTTCTTGTTGTAGTAAGTGGGATTTTTTTTCCTAGTTTCTCTTTCTGATATTTCATTGTTGGTGTATAAAAATGCCATTGATTTCTGAATATTAACTTTGTATCCCACTGTTTTGCCAAATTCACTTAATAGGTTGAGTAGTTTTTGTTGTTGGAAACAATAGGGTTTTCTTTGTATTCTATCATGTTGTCTGCGAATAATCACAGTTTTACATCCTCCTTTCCAATTTAGATGCCTTCTATTTCTTTTTCTTGTCTGATTGCTGTGGCTAAAACTTCCAATACTATGTTGAGTAGAAGTGGTGAGAGCAGACACACTTGTCTTGTTCCTGATCTTAAGGGAAAAGCTTTTAGTTTTTGCTCATTGAGTATAATGTTGGCTGTAGGTTTCTCATATATGGCTTTTACTATGTTGAGGTATGCTCCCTCTATTCCCACTTGGTTGAGTTTTTTTTTTTTTAAATCATAAATGTGTGCTAGATTAATAAAATGCTTTTTCAGCATCTATTGATATGGTCATGTGATTTTTGTTCTTCATTTTGTTTATGTGGTGTATTACATTTATTGATTTGCAAATATTGCATCACCCTTGCATCCCTGGGATGAATCCCACTTAATTATGGTGTATGATCCTTTTAATGTATTTCTGAATCCAGGTTGCCAATTTTTGTTGAGGATTTTAACATCTATATTCATCAGAGGTATTGGCCTGTAGTTTTCTTTTTTTCTTGTGTCTTTACCTGGTTTTGGAATTAGGATGATACTGGCCTCATAAAAAGTGTTAGGAAGTGTTCCCTCTTCTTAAATTTTTTGAAACAGTTTGAGAAGGATAGGAGTTAGTTCTTCCTTAAATGTTTGGTAAAATTCACCTGTGAAGCCATCCAATCTAGTGCTTTTGTGTACTGGGAAGTTTTTTATTACTGCTTCAATTTCACTAATTGTTAGTCTATTCAGGCTTTCTGCATCTTCTTGATTCAGTTTTGACAGATTATATGTTTCTAGAAATCTGTCCATTTTCCCCAGGTTGTCCAATTCCTTGGCATATAGTTGTTCATAGTAATTTCTTACAACCCTTTGTATTTCTGTGGTATTGGTTGTAACTTCTCTTTCATTTCTGATTTTATTTACTTGGGTCCTCTCTCTCTCTCCTCCCCCCCTTTGATAAGTCTGTTTAAAGGTTTGTCAATTTTGTTTACCTTTCCAAATAACCAGCTCCTGGATTTATTGATCCTTTGAATTGTATTTTTAGTCTTCATATCATTTAATTCTGTCTTGATCTTGATTATTTCCTTCATTCTACTTGCTCTGGGCATTGTTTGTTGCTGTTCTTCTAGTTCTTTTAGAGGTAGGGGTAGGTGGTTTGATATTTTTCTATCTTCTTTAGGTATGCCTGTATTGCTATGAACTTTCCTCTCAGGACTGGCTGCATTTTGTCCCATAGGTTTTGAGTTGTGTGTTCATTTTTATTTGTTTCCAGATATTTTTTGATTTCTTCCTTAATCTCATTGTTGACCCATTCATTATTTAATAACATGTTATTCAGTCTCCATGTATTTGAATGTTTTTTATTTTTTTCCTTGAGGTTTTCTAGTTTCAATCCATTGTAATCTGAGCACATGCTTGATATAATTTCAGTTTTCTTGAATTCGTTGAGGTTTGTTTTGTATCCTTCCATGTGGTCTAGTTTTGAAAATGTTCCATGTGCATTTGAAAAGAGTGTATATTTTGCTTCTTTGGCGTGAAAGTTTCTGTATATATCAGCTAAGTCCATTTGATTTATAGTGTCATTAAATGCCACGATATCCTTGCTGATTCTGTGTTTGGAGGACCTATCCATTGTTGAAAATGGGGTGTTAAAATCCCCTACAGTGACTGTGTTGTTGTCAGTATCTCTCTTGAAGTCCTCCAAGGTTTTCTTTATATATTTATGTGCTCCTATGTTGCGCGCACATATCTTTACAAGGCTTAATAGCCTGCTGTTGATTATTCCTTTAAGTATTATATAGTGACCTTCTTTGGCCTTTTTTATGGTTTTTGTTTTGAACTCTATTTTGTCTGATATAAATATTGCTAGCCAAGCTTTATTGTTGTGTCTGTTTGCATGGAATATTTTTTTTCCATACCTTCACTTTCAGCCTGTGTAGCTCTTTTGTTCTGAGGTGGGTCTCTTATAGAGAACATATATATGGGCCACGTTTTCTTACCCATTCAGCTACCTGATGTCTTTTGATTGGCGCATTTAATCCATTTACATTTAAGGTTCTTATTGATAGGTACTTATGCATTGCAATTTTTTCCATACCTATGTTTTTCTTTCTCTTTCCCATTCTCTCTTTCTCTCCTCCTTTTTGTAGCAATCTCTTTAGTATCTCCTGCAGAGCTGCCTTGGTGGAGATGTACTCATTTACCCTTCTTTTGCCTGGGAAGCTCTTTATTTCACGTTTAATTTTAAGTGAGAGTAGTCTTCTCTCCAGTCTATCCAGTCTTGCTGGATAGAGTAGTCTTTGTTGTAGGTCCCTGCTTTTCACTACTTGTAGTATTTCATACCAGTCTCTTCTGGCTTGTAGTGTTTCTGTTGAGAAATCAGATGATAGCCTTATTGGAGCTCCCTTGTATGTTACTAGCTATTTCTCCCTTCCTGTCTTTAAGATTCTCTTTTTGCCTTTAAAATTTGCCATCTTAATTATGATGTGTCTTGGAGTAGGCCTCTTTGGGTTCATCTTGATGGGGACCCTCTGTGCTTCTTGAACTTGTGTGACTTTTTCCCTTACCAAGTTAGGGAAATTTCCTGTCATCATTTTTTTCAAATAAGTTTTCTATCCCTTGCTCCTTTTTCTTTTCCTTCTGGTATTACTATGATGCAAATGTTGTTACATTTCATGTTGTTCTGAAGCTCCTTTAATTATTCTCATTCTTTTTGAGTCTTTTTCATTTTGTTGCTCTCATTAGGTATTTTTTTTGTATCTTATCTTCCAGCTCATTGATTCAGTCCTCTGCTTCATCTAGCCTGTTTTTAATTCCTTTTAGTGTATTTTTCATTTCAGGTACTATATTCTCCATTCCTCCCTGGTTCTTGTTCATAGTTTCTATGTCCTTTTTCATTCTGCTGTGGTTCCCGCTAAGTCCCTTGTAGTTCTCACTGAGTTCCTTGAGCATCCTTATAACCAGTATTTTGAATTCTATGTCTGATAGATCGCTTGCCTTAATTTCATTTAGCTCTTTTTCTGGGGAATTCTCCATTACTTTCAACTGGAGGTTCTTTCTTTGTCTTCCCATTTTAAGTGATTCTTTTTGTTTAAAAAATATGGAGCACTTCACAAATTTGCATGTCATTTTGCACAGGGGCCATGCTAATCTCTGTATTGGTCCAATTTTAGTGTATGCGCTGCAAAAGCAAGCACTAATTTAACATTTTTAAAATGTTATACTCCATAAAGGAAGGAGGCCAGTAACTAATGATGAGAAAGTATTGGCAACTAATACAACACACAAAAGGATAAGAATTCCAGGATACAAACAGCATCAACAAATTAAGAATTAGAAGACAAACAATCTAGCAAAACAAAAGATAAAGACATAATCTTAAGGCTTTTTCTGTTTGTTTGGAAAATACTTATTTTTATTCAAAGCAATAAGTAAACAAAAGTCTTACTTGAAATTCTGTGGGAATCAGCTTTTCTTAAACATAAGCTGCACAATTTTGACATTGAATTCACCTAACCTATTTTAACCACAGATTCATCAAGAATGTGTTGAATAACCACTCAAAATCATTCGTAACTATTTTTCAGTAAGACCTTCTCTCACACAGGTGATGGTGAGAACTGAAGGTGACAATATTGTACAGGTAAAATCCCAAACCCAGGAAGGTGGTACAAACAATGGAACTTAATTATTTGCATCCCACTTTTCCTCTTTTCTTTCACTAGACTACTTTAAAGCAGTAATTTTGTCCGAAGCATTTTTGTGTATCAGTGTTTGTCACAGTGCAAGAAAGGAGATAGGATCGAAGGGAATAAGGAAGGGAGAGGAGGAAGAAGGAAGGAGGCAGGGAGGGAAGGAGAGAGGGAAGAAAAGACAAATGGGCAGTCTGTTCCTGGTGCAGTTCCACCTCCAGCCACATGATGGCGGCATGAGCATGGCTGCGCTCCAGCGCTCCCTAGGATGTCACTTTAAATCCCAATTCTTTGAAGCCAGGGGCGCCTGGGTGTGTTGTGTTTGTGCCTGTGAGTCAAAGCTTCACCCAGCGTCAGCACTGTCAGCTGAGTTTTAATGCAGGTGAACACGGGAATCTTCAAGGGTTTCGCAGTCTTCCTTGCTAGGAAAATCCCAACAGGAGTTTGATAGTAAAAAGGACTTTGCAGTCACTTTCAAATGGGGAGAATTGCCTTAAATACATACCATCTGCTCCCCCGGGGTCTGCAGTGTGTGGGCAGAGCTCGCAGTTAATGAGCCACGGGCTTGCTGCTCCCGGGGCCAGGCTGGAGCAGTCAGCTGGTGGAATGCTGGGAACTGCAATCAGCAGCCCTGCACCAACATGCCCTGACTGAAAGTGTGATTTGTGACACAGCAGCTTGGGAAGAGTAACAAAAACATAATTGCTGCAGGCAGGTCGTTCTGTGTCTTTCAATTGTAGAGCTGCTGTTCCTCAGACAGAGGAGAGGTACTGTGGTTCTTAGCCTTTGTTTCTCTAGCACCAGCGGAGGCGCACCCTGCCACTGCCCTCCTGGCCCCAGCTGCTTAGGTGTTTCTCTGAACCCCAGAGAAAGGCTGTCCCCAAACTAGGAAGAGCCCTGTGGCAGCCTCTCTCTTCAAGCAGAACCGCCCCAGTCATGGATATGGCTTTGAAACCTGTTCTTCCGATCCTCTGCTGCTGCGAATGTGCTGTTAGCGGTTGTTTTGTTTTGTTTTTTGCCTTTTGGGAAAAAAAAAAAGAATTCCTTGCTTGTACACTTTTCTTTATAGTTTATACAGAGTTCTCATTCTGTCTCCATCACAGCTGAAGAAGGAGGCAGAGGCTATTGCTATGATGTTACAAACAAGCACCCCAGCAATCAGTTTGAGGAAACAACACAGGAGGATCTCCATGGCCCAGCTCAGTGGGAAAACAGCAGAGGACTCCGAGGTGGGTAGTCCGGTCTCAGTGTTCAGCTGCTATAAGTCACCTGACATATCTGAGGCCCAGTTTCTTCACCTGTCAAATGAAGAGAAAGATGCCAGCCTCTTGGGACCGGGGAGGACCGAATGAGATATGCTGAGGACGTTGGCTGCGTCAGGGAGCCAGTGGGAAAGTTGTGTATCAAGCACCTTTTCACACAGCGTGTCTGATCCACCCAGCTCCACACCTGTGCGCATGGTGCCATGCAGTTCCAGCTGCCTTTGTGCGCGGGCGATCTTCCTGCCCGGGGCTTCTCTGTCACACTGTAGAACTTTGTTCCGCTTTCAAGGATCGGTTATCTGAGATGTTCGTGCTTCATGCTGGAGGGTCAGTCCTGTCCAGAAGGCGACTGGGACTGCTGGGGAAAGGCTTTCCCTTTTCGTTCCTAGACATGAGTGGTCCTGAGACATATTACAAATGGGGGAGACACTGACCCATGATCACTCATGACCAAGCTGTTAGCATATATTTACATTCCCGTTCTTCCTCCTCATTTCACTCATGGTCCTTGAGATCACCTCTCAAGTACACCACCTGGGTACGAGCCCTGACTCAGGTGCTTCATGGGGAACCCAGGAGAGGACAAGACGGGAGAGACGCCAGGACTGACGGCAAGGTCAGGAGGGCACACACACACACACACCCACGGGCATGCACATGCGTTGGTCCCTGTCTGTATCAAGCAGGTGGAGCTCCGGAGTGTTTCCAGAGCATCTCATCAGTTGTTGGGGCCCCCGAAAGGAGAATGTGAGTGTTTTCCTGGGCCTCTAACGGACGTGGGTTCTGGTGAATTGATGGGCACTCGTATTCATCCCCAGATGCCCTGGCAGCAGCAACCGCCTTAGACCTGGGCTGGCATCAGGTGGAGGCAGAAGCTGTCTCCATGATGTGATTTAAGGGTGCCATTAGGCTCTGCAATGCAAAGATATTATATGGGTGGGGTGGCTGCTTCACCTCAGGCGGTTTGCCACACCAGGGTGAGTTGGAGCTTGCAGAGGAGCAGGCAGTCCAAGGTGAGCGCCACATGCCCACTCCCACTGTAAGCTACCGTGTATTGATGACCTGTTCTGAGTCAGCGGCATGTAAACACTTCAATGCACATCAATCTTTTCTTAACCCAGACTTCACAATAGAATCACCTAGAGCAGCTTGGAAAATGCCAGTGCTAGTCCCCACTCCCTATTTGTTTAAATTGGTCTGAGGGTGGGGCTCGGGCACCCAGAAAGTTCCTCGTAGTTCTCATGTGCAGTCAGGTTTGAGAGCCATGGATCCTCACTGTCCTTTTTCTTTCTCACCCCGACCTTCCCAGGAAGATATCCATACCCCCTCTCTGTACTAGGGGAAGCAGTGAGTGCGTTGGGAGAACGTTGGGAGTCAGGTAGCAATGGCCCAAAGTGGCCACCGAGGTTGGCCTGACTCGGAAACATCAGGCTCCAGCACAGAACACTTGCCAGGTTGCTCTGTTAAAAGTCCTCGCACAGAGGAGGGTGGGTGTGTTCTTGGGCAGAGGCAGCCAGGAGGACGAACAGCAGACGGGGAACGTGTTTTTGCAGCCCTATGCTTCATTTTAAAAATGCCTCATTTGTTTTTATAAAAAGATACGATTTTACGTGATTTTCTATAAAATGCCACTTCCGGAAGACAAATGGGGTAGCCACACTGTGGCGGAGGCGGGTCAGGCTCTGGTGTGAGCGGCTCAGCCCCGTACTACGCCCCACCTCCCTTGGTGGAAAGCAGAGACTGGGGTCGCTGTGAGGAGATGGACGTGGGTGGGGAAGGGAGAAGGTGGGCAGGAAAAGGGTCAAAAGCCTAAAGCTTCTTCAAGGTCGATTCTGTTCCTATTTCCCACCATATTGGAAAAGGAAGTTCTTAGCTTTGGAAGGTGCAGGCATAAAAGATTGATGCAGAGACAGAAGCCCATAATATGAATTCCACTTAGCTTCTCTTTCTGGGATTAACAAACATTTTCTGTAAAGGGTCAGAGAGGAAACCTTTTAGGTTTCTGACCCATCTGGTGTCTGTTACAACTACTGAGCCCCATTGGTATAGCATAAAAGCAGCCATAGGCACTACAGAAATACTTGGGTGTGTCTGTCATCTAATAGAATGTCATTTACAAAACCAGGCAGGCAGACCGGATTTGGCCTGTGGTAGTGTGCAGAACGCAGCTCTGTTTTGCTCACTTACAGGCATGACGGAGACCATTAGCTAAATTCGTCCTTCCCTGTCAAATTCGTCTGTAAAATATCAAACCAAGGGCTGGGCTAGATACTTATAACAGCTGCCATTTTCGCTCTCTGAACACACACATGCACATACACACATGTACATATATGCACACACGCTGCTAATCTTCTCGTTCTGGATTTGGTTTCTGGATGAGAACAATGAGGCTTAGGACAATTTGATCTTATGCCTCACATGTATTAAGTAGGCCGGAATTTGCATGTGGACCAGATTTTTTTCTAGGCTATAGCTGGATGTCTAAGCAATTGTTGTAAATACTTCTAGGGCAAACAGCTATGAGACTATAATTCCATTTACTTTCTCTACATGGCTCTTTGCCCAACATGTAGACTGTGCACAAATGTACTAGCCAAGCCATTAAAAAGAAAAATAATGTAGCTGAGATTGAAATCTAGTCAGCTGAGCATGTTGACTTGGCATCCTAGAGTCAAATGTCAGGAGACCAGCTTCTATCAGACCCCAACATCCCGCCTCAAGGAAGTACTTGGAAATGGCTCCACAGGGGCCTCTTTATTTCCTACCCACCAGCTGTGTCATTATCACAGGGCTCTCTAAGCACTGGGAGAGTCCAGTCCCAATGACACTAGTCTGCTAAGTGTAATATGTGCACACTCTGTGTCATTGGCTTTCAGTGGCCTCTCTGCTCACCATGCCACTCGTCTCTCCTCCACTTAAATCAGCCCACCATCTATTCATGTGTCTGACAATTCTGGATGTTCAGATACAGACCAAAACTGTGGTCTCTGCCCTTGCGCTCTAGAAGCTGTGGTTAGATACTTAAAGTTGGTACATGTATTGTGGCATATAATTGTCCCAACATCCTTATAGAGTAGAGACTATTACCTCCATTTAACAGGTAAAAAGGAATGGGCTAGGGCGGCCCCTCTTCCCCTTGGAGAGCGGGGTAAACTCTGCTCAGATCCCTACTCTCATGGGTGGGGGGAATCACTATCTTTCCTGGGGAGACTGCTGAGAGGTCATGTGTGGTGCAGCCTT